ATATTCAATTCAGGCAAGGATCATCTATGGATGCAAAAACGATTGGGTGAAAGGTTCTTGATAGGAAGAATATTGGTAAGAGTCTCACAGACAATTTGTTGAGGTAAAAGGGAGGAGGGCACATTCACAATGGAGAAATGCAGTGGATTCTTCATTAATCAAGTCATCACAGTTGACATCACCTAACTGGGCCAAACTGTTATCATGGGCTTCACGATAGAGTGCAGTGGCAAGGACACAGCATCATACATTGTGATATCCCTGCCATACTTGTTCAATCTGAATCTAATCATCAGGGAAAGTAAGATTATTGAACTTTTTATAAGACACTTGGCCTAAATAAATATTTTTTAGGTCCGTTTCATGAAAGACTAATGTTAAAAGAGAACAAAAGCCCTAATCGGTTTGGCTCAGTGGATAGAGTGTCGGCCTGCGGACTGAGGGGTCCCAGGTTCGATTCCGGTCAGGGGCATGTGCCTTGGTTGTGGGCACATCCCCAGTGGGAGGTGTTCGGGAGGCAGCTGATCGATGTTTCTCTCTCATCGATGTTTCTGACTCTCTATTCCTCTCTCTTCCTCTCTGTAAAAAATCAATAAAATATATTAAGAAAAAAAAATACGTTTAAAAGAGAACAAAAATACATGTCATCTCAATGTGTGATCTTTGATTGGCTTTTGGATGGGAATTAATAACAATAGATAAAAGGACATTACTTAGACTGCTGGTGAAATGTGAGCATGTGCGCATATGAGATAATGCTGTACCATGTTAAATTTCTTGGATGTGTGAATGATATCAAAGCATTAGGTGTTCTTAGGTGATGCAAGCTGAAGTATATGGAAGGGAAGTTTCTGTAACTTCTTTCAAATGTTTTCAGTGCTTTAACAAACAGAATATATACCTTTAAATATATTGATAAAGGGTAGATTTTGCTATTATAAACACCTAGCCCGCCTTCCCTTTTTGCCACATTTCTGTCCCTTTACATCTGAGTCAGGTTAGAAAAGATCTCTTGCTGTTTGACTTAAATCACCTTACTTTAGTTTCTTTTATTGAAGGGTAGTTATTTCTAACTTTTTAACCTTACCATAGTAAATGAATCTTTTATATATAAGCTGTAGAATTTGCCCATAGCCTTACAAATGGATAAATGAGTAAACTCCTCTGAGTGGTCATACCTATCTTCTGATTGTTATTTAAGAAAGAATTTAAGAGAGAGAATGGGAGGGATGGAGAGGAGAGAGAGAGAGAGAGAGAGAGAGAGAGAGAGAGAACAAAATGTTGGCCATTGATGAATCTGGGTACAGGGTTTGTGGGTAGAGTTCATTTTACTACTTGTACAACTTTTCTGTGAGTTAAATTTCTTTTTAAACAAGATATTTGGATATAAAACATGGATAAATAAATGGTTCTTGACTGTCACATGTAATTAGTGGGTTAGCAATATGTGGGCTAAAACATGACCCATCTAAAGTCAGACTCTTGGAAATAGCCTCACAGACTATACATTTTGGTTCTGCACTCTGGTTTAAACTCTGTTCCTATGAATTTACAAACGGGGATGCCATCACCCACTAATTCTGCTAGTGGCACTTATAGTGCTTATAACTTTCCAAGTTATAAGAAAACCCAATTGTAGTTTGGTGAGCTTTAATCATATACATATTTACTGAATGAATGAATGAATGAAAATAATTATATTCTAAAAAAATGTCTTATGAATGCCTTATTCATGTGGGGTTTCTGGCTGTGAGTAAAAGGACACTTTTTGTGCCTCACCATTTATCCTCTGGTTTCACCTTCATGCACCAGCCATTGCTACAGCAACCACCTCTGTGTAGGTATGACCTGGTGGCACCTTGCCTCAGCTGCAATACCTTTCTCTTTCTGCCCTGGGGCATCTCTGCCACCACTCCACTTCTTGGGACAAGTATGAGGGAATTTATAATCCCATAGGTAGCACATGTCCATGGAGAACCTGAGCCCGGGGATAATCTATTCTTTCACCCCTTAGTGGGAAGATCTGAGGCACATTTCACAGGACTCTTCAGAGGGCTTTGAGGAGAATAGAGACCTACTTACCTATGTGGCTGACCACTTCAATACAGCACATTTGAATTGGCTTTCACTCTTCCCCTGCTTAATTTTTTCCAGTCCTTCAGTCATGCTTCCTGGGACCGACATGCATGTCTTTGCATCAGGCTTTGATTTTTGGCAGAACCTGGACCAACACAGTGGCATCTCTCTAGTTATGGTTGAAAAAATGAGAATTGTAGTTGTTACAATAACCACTTTATAAGAGTTTATGTGGTGTCTAGAAAAAGCATTAGGCGAAGAGTCAGCAGAACCTTCCTTCTTGTTATTTGGCCTCCAGCAGGTCATTTAGCCTTTAGGTAAATGGTAAAGCTACAGGGATGAGGAGTTAAGGAAAAGATACATTACTGTGTGTGTGTAGGATTCTGTTAGCTGGTTATAAGCCTGTGGCCTCTGGTATCTAGTATAAAGTATTGGGAGTAGCTATGTTATAGTCCCTGAATCTAGAGGTGCTGTGAGATTAGATGAGCATTCCAGAGAAGGGCTGTTGGTGGGACTTGGGAGGACATCTGTTATTTGAACTGAGACCTAAAATAGAGACTGTATAGTGATAAGGAGGCCTCTTCTTATCCGTAATGGGGATCGAAATAAATGTAGGAGTAAAGCACTTCTCAGAAGGTCAAGTAAGGCAACAAGAGGTTATTGGTACAAAATCTCACAGCATTAGGCTGGACTTATTAAATTGCATCAACCTAATGTGAGCAACTAAAAATGGGGAGTAGTTTCAACTCAGAGGAATGGTAGAATAAAGAGGCTGAATACCAATTGTATGCATAGGCTAGTTGCACACTATAATTACTTGTTCCATTGTATTGCTCAGGGTAATTCTGTGATTTTGAGTCTCTGTGGTTAGATATCCCAGTGACTTGGGACATGGGCAGTTGATGTACTTTCTGCTACAGTACAGATGTTGTAGACCTTATTAAATGCTGATACCCCCAGGGAACACTTAATGAATGATGCTTCCCTTAAGGAGAAGAAGAATTAACAATAGCATTATTATTCATATTAATTTATAGTTACTGGTTGCTGTAATTAATGCTAGTTATGAAAATTATAATTATAGCACTTTATAATTTACAAAGTATTTTCTCATCCAATTTTTATCTGAATATTTTAATATCCCTCTGTCTTAGGTATGTCAGGTGATACTCTTTTTGTTTTATAGATGAGGAAACTAGGGCTCAGGAAAGAATTTAACCAGCCTGCAATCCACTGCCCTTACCAATATATTGTGCTATCTATGAGTATATGGAAATACACTTATCAATTTTGTACTTATCATAATGTTTTTTATTTACATGTAAGAGAACAGCTTCACACATTTCTCAGTTGTTTTCCTTAACAATAATATCCTCCCTTTTCTTTTTGTACCAAGACCCAGTGTCAGAATATTCACAAGAATGTGTAAAAGATTTTCTTCTTAATAATACCACAGTATTTCATAGTTATTAATACTCAGTGGGATAACGATGAGATTGCTTCTGATAGAGGGATTAGCACTTTCAAAACAACCCTCTGGCCTTATAGTGTTAGGTCAAACCCAGAATGTAGGCTCTGAGAAAACATCATCAACCTGGCATTTCACTTATTTATTTACCTTTTCTTGTTCTTTTTTTTTCATTTTTGACTGTGGAAGAGAGCTGAGGAAAATCTCCAATTTTTCTCAAGGGCAACCTTCGTATCTGAGCCATATAGTGTGAAATACACAGACATACACACAGATATGCACACACATGCACATATGGTTTGGTGAGCAAGCTACCAGAAGGAAAGAAACTAGTTGTGTTCATAGGCAATTCTATTATGCTATCATTGCCCAATGCAGCATATTTACTAGAAAGATAAACTTACTTGGAGGACTGTAAGGTTTAATGCTAGCTTGTGAGGGTATCCTATATTTTGTTGTTGCTGAGGATATTCTGGTTTCTTGGCTAATGCTTTTTCTATGCCTTTTCAGACACTATCCTGATATTTAACTGCCTTAGACAAGTTTGATAGAGTTGATTAGTTTACAATAACTTCCTATTAATTTATTTCTATTGGGTTTTGCTGCTGACGCATTTTGTTTTTTTTGATGGAGCCTTAAGGATGCTCCCAGAAAATCCATGATCATAATTACCTTGTGAAAGAGCCACCTCATTTCATATTTTCAAATTCTAAAGCCACCTCACTTTCTATATTTTTTCCTTAAGCTCTAAGCAAACTACCTGCCAGAACCTTCCCACAATGCCTGGGGCTGCCCTTGTGGTAGTTTTATTGTCTTCTACTCACCTCTTATTGATTCTGAGTGCAGGTAGAAGTTGGTACTTCTGTTAACACAGGACATTGACATATGAAATCCATAAAGCTCCTACTTCAGATCAGTGGCCACTGCCACATGCATCCTCTGCAGCCCCTTGGCCAGAACCCTGAACAGTCTCATGCTAGTTCATTTTTTAGACTCATTGATTGGGGCTTGCCATCTCTGTCACACAGACATGGATCCCCTGCTGAGTCCTCTTCCTGGACTGTAAGTCTCCCACCCTTGCCCTTCCTGTTCCAACTAAAATGTCATCATTCTAAGCAGTGGTTTCTGAACACAAAGAACTTGCATTATCTTCCTAGTTGGATATGCTTCTTGAGTCCAGGATGGAGACATTTACTTATTTTTACTTTTATACTCATCAAAAAATAAGTGTGTGACCTTAGAAAAATAACCTTACACCTCTCAGTGTTCTTATTTGTCAAAAAGGGATCATTCTACTTCAGGCCACCACTGAAATGTTATAAGGGTTGGGGGCACGGGGGTAGATTCAGAACATTTTGGACAAAGCTACACTATAACTTGGAAAATTTGAATTCAGTCAGATATCAATGGAAACTGGAAATTTCCTTTTTGAACATGTCTGTGTTGCTTCTGGCAGGGAAATCCGGGAGGCAAGACCATTGAGGAGAGACGCTCCAGCCTGGATGCTGAGATTGACTCATTGACTAGCATCTTGGCTGACCTTGAGTGCAGCTCCCCCTACAAACCTCGGCCCCCACAGGTAAGAACTGTCCGGGAATGTCTCCATATGGCCAGCTACAAATGGTCTATGATGATCTGAAAATACAAGCTGCTGTTCATAGCCCTTCCTTTTTTTTTTTTTTAATCTTCTCACAGTCAATGGTCTAAGACTAAGTTGTCTTTTTATTTAATATCAACATATGTTTTCTAACAGGCATAATCCTTAAAATTTAATTTAATTAGTATTGTCTTTAAAATACAACAACATTATACAAAAAACTTCTGAAAATTAAAATTCTTCTTACTCCATTGTCCTTTTCATTTTCTGGCTTTGAGTATGTGGATATTTTGTATACATTGTTATAGTCTTAACAAATAGAATTTAGCACAATTATGTTAAAGTGAGGGCTACGTCTTCTATAAGGAAATTCCTTATGTTGTACCTGTAAGGTAGCTTCTGTTTTTTGGTTGTTGTATGTAATGCTATGAAGGACATGTCCATGAGTATTTTCTTTGGAGCTATTTCCCTGTCTTAGATTCCTAATATTAGGATTTCTACATTAAGGAGTCTGACCACTTTCTTTCTTTATCTTTCCAAAAGTTGTGAATAGCTTGTGTTGGCAGTTAGAATATACCAGTGTCTCCTCACGTTCACCAGAATTTGGTGATAGCCATTAATCTCTATTTTTTAAAAGGTAGATGGTGCTCCTTGTTATCAGTTTATTTATTTATTTGTTTGTTTGGGTTTTTTGTTGTTGTTTTTTTAGCTTGGCTCTTTTTCTGCATTGTACTTTGCTATCTGCATTCAGAAACAACTTCCATTGCTAGTGATCATTCCTGTCAATCTCAGGTCTTGAGATGGTAGTGGGAAATCTATGTCAGGGTTTCCATGTCCTCAGAAGACAGCCAATGGAACTCTAGACGCACACACTGGACTGGCACAATTGTCACTGCATGTTTGACTTGCGAGATGCTTGCTTGACTAAGTGACGGTGCATATGGCATGCTGAGTTTACTCCAGTCCTTGAACAGCAGCTCCTGTGTTCACAATGGTTCCTTTCATGAATTAAAATCTAGCCCTGCTTCTCAGCTGTCAGGGCTGCACATAAGGTGTCAGTGCTTTCTTCTTTAGATATATTCCCATTACTTTTCCTAGACATATAATGGGACTGTCAGCAAAACACACTGGAGTAGAACTTAGCTTTTCCTTTGCTATCATTACTCTTGGCTCCACCAGATCTGTTGGTAGTGGAAATACACTTAATTTCTATAAACATCTTGAGATGCAGGTCTGTAGCATGTACTGTGGTCTTTTAGGAAAACTGTTAGGAGAAGAAAAGTGGATTGTGGAATGAGAAATAAATAGGACCCCATTATCATTGCCCAGGAGCCCATAATAATAAACTATGGTGGATATTGTAGCAACATAAAGAAGAGAGTGATACATACTTTTGAAGGTGGCAGAATCTGAGAAGATTTATGAGAAGGCTTGTGTGTTCAGATTGATGGGTGGGTGGACTAGTAATAATGGAGACAATAATGGAGAACAGCCTCAGCCATTGAGGAGAAAGGTCCAGGTTTCTAGGTGGCTAAGGACAAGGCCACTCAAGGCTTAAAGTATCTACAGGATTGTGAAGTTTTCTACTGATAGCCTGGGGACAAGTTTGAATGCCAGATTAAGATTTTGCCTTGTCCTTTATAGTTAACTAGAGGCCTGGTGCATGGATTCGTACACCAGTGGGGTCCCTCAGCCTGGCCTGCACCCTCTCGCAATCTGGGACCCCTCAGGGGGGAAGTCAGACTGCCGGTTTCAGGCCGCTCCCACTCATTCCAGCCCCCCTGCGCCTGCCGCCTCTGCTGCTGCCACCACTGCTCAGTAGCACTGCCACAGAGACAGCAGAGGCTTGTGCCACAGCAGCTGCTCTCGCGAGCCATGAGCCCAGCGTGCGGTGCCCCTCGGTCATCTGAGCAGCGCTCCTGCTGTGGGAGCGCACTGACCACCAAGGGGCAGCTCCTGCGTTGAGCATCTGCCCTCTAGTGGTCAGTGCGCATCATAGCAACCGGTTGAGTGGTCGACTGGTCATAATGGTTGCTTAGGCTTTTATATAGATGGGGAATAGTGGAAGGTTCTCAATCAGGAAAAAGCCAGATTTCATTTCTATAAAGGAACATAGGAAACAAGCTGTGTTCTGGAAAGATGCAGGAGGATGGGCCAGATCTGAGACATTCTCCAGCAAGCCTTTGATGGACCAGTGTTTGATGTTAAGCATTTTTCCTATTCCACTCAGGCACATGCCTCAAGCTCAATTTCTCAGAACAGCAAGACCACTGAGTTTTCCACTGGAGTCACCTGTCCATGATCCCCTCCTTTTTAAAAATAGGGGTTTTGCTCAATCCCCCCCCCCTAAATTCTTAATATATACTGTGGAGCTTCTACTTAATATAGCCTTCATTCCTTAAGGCTGTGTCAACATATACCTCCCATAAACCACTGCATTTTAATGGGTTATTTACAAGCTCCATTTTTGTTTGCACAATCTTACTGTACACACAAACTAATAATCACTGATATTTGGACAGTGCTTCACTGATTGTAAAGCATATATTCTCACTTGAGTAAGACTGAAACTCTGATATTAATGATATGCTGATCTGGAGTGGAGGAACCTAAGACTTAGAAGATAAGTGACCTGTCTTAGGACATAGGACTACAATGTGAGCACAGCTGGACTCTGAATTTATACCTGTGTTTGGTTTTAAGTTCTAAAACCAGATTGGGGATGTCAGTATTTTAAAAACATTTTTATCAATGACAAAAATCTATGAAATAATCATATGAGTAACAATGTCCTTAGAGGCTTTCTTATAAAATGAAAAACATTCAGAAGGTTTAGAAAAATTAATAATGATAATCCTTAAGTAGAATAAGTGGATAATTGAGGTAAAAATCTACTTTCGATGAGTCTATTTCATTCAGAAATTAAAGAGTGATTCCGTCTAACATTTTTATCATTCTACTTTAGGAAAGCAAGATTTAATTGGGAGTTACAACTCATTCTTTTGTGTTATCTTAACTCTGGTGGAACTGAATTAGATATGTTAGTATTTATTAGTTAACATAATTATATGCTGTGAGAGTGATAATCACACACCTAAAATATTAAAAATAGGTGCTAAAAGAAGATGATGTCTGTTGTGTTGTAATTAAAAGGTACTTGAAAAGTCCTAGAACTGTAGAATGTTAATGCCCAACTTTGATGTTTTTATTTTTGATCCAAAGCAAATTATAAAACCCATTGAATCACCTGTCTACTTAAAGTAGGCTAGTAGGTCTATGATTTCTCATTATTTAAGCATGCGTTATGTGTGTTCCTGAACCCACTTCTGAACTTCCTTATTAAGGCCACTTTGACTGCTCGATCTAGGGAAAATCCTACTCTATGTAGAATGTACCAGTAGAGGTTCAAAGGAGCTCTATTCACATAACAACTTTGAGAAATGTCTGAGTACTTGAAGATAGATTTTATGGAACCTTTTGCTCCTTTTTCCAAAGGAGCATTTTCTACTCTGAGATTTCCCAGCTTTAGTTCTGTTCACTTATTTATTCATATTCTTACTTGGGAAATGTGGCTTAATTTCACATTTTCAGTCATTCACCTAACATTTATTGAGATCCCTTTATGGGGGATCCATGTCCTTGGTCTAGTAATTTGTACTCTTAACAGAGGAAACAAGCACATAATCAATTCAAAAGCCACTAAAGAAGGGCTTCAATGTGCTACTTTAAGCTGTTATGTGACTCACCAGATGTTGAAATTGTTGGAAAATAAAAAATAATAGGAATATTATCGTTATACTGTGTACTGTTCTAGGGAAGTGTCTGGGAAGACTGCAGAGAGCCTTTGAGTTTATGGGTACAAAAGCCTATGTCGTGGGAAAGGCTTGGGATTCAAGGTGCGATACTAACAGTAATGAGAAAATCAAGGAATGTTGAAAGTGAATGTCTTGTTTGAAGGACATGTTAGTTCAAATGCTGTATCGGGTATGTGCAAAGGGGATAGGCAGATAAAATCACATGCACTTAGTACCTATGTAGCACTCTTGATGCCCAAGAACTCCCATACAAGAGGAGGAATTTAGCGGTGATAGTATTTCTGGCTGCAGTGGGTTTGGGGGTAACAACTGTAGCAAATTTTAAATGAGATATAAAAATATACACCTGCATCATTACACAGAGCTATGTAATTAAAATAGCTTAGTGTTTGAAACTAAAAGAGCTACCCATTTTAAAATATGTGTATTAGGAAGTACTTTTAGAAGAACAGATGTGAGAAGTTTGGAGGTGGTTGTGGGATGAGTTGCAGACTGAATATGATCATAGAGTGTGAGAGCTTAGATAGGCCTTTGAGGTCATGCAGCCAAATGTTTAGGGAAGAAAAGTTTTTGCTCAGAGAAAGAATGCACTACTCAATGAGGAGCAAGAGTACTGCTTATTTCCCTTTTTTCCTGAAACAAGACGTACTGCTTCTCTGTGGATGATAACAGCAACCAAGACATAGAAGGGGTCTTTTTAGCATTTCAATTAGTTTATTCCAAAATGTTTCTCTTTTGTGGTACATTCTCTAAATTATGTCTTAGAATCATAATGAAAGAGTATAATAAATTTAAAAAACATAGATAATTCAAATCATAATTCAAAAGTAGAAAGAAAATTTATGACAGTATAGTGTCTTTGAGTCAGTGTATATCTAGACCCCATCCAGTGGCATCATCTGTTATTAGAAGTTCAGCTTAGATTTTCTGGAAGAGTTACACAGGGATCAGATTGAAATTCTTTTGATTTCTTAGAAGACAGTGGATAAATCCATGCATTTATTTTTGTTTTTTCTTTTCTTGGCAGAGCCAGGGCTAGAGTTCTGGTCTTCTGATACTAGTACAGAGCTTCCTTTTCTTCCCTGCAGTGAGTTTGGTAGGGTCAGAGCTGGTGCCCATGGACAAACTTTCAGATATTTTATACCACTATTTCAGTGTTTCTGGAAA